TTATAATTATTATTATATTAGTCTTATGTTTTATCAAAAGGAAACAGTTACTTTTCTTTAATTTAAAACACTATAAAGTTCTAAATTCAAATTTTGCATAATAAATTCTCGCTTCTTTTCAGGGTTTGGAGAACCAGCTTCTGTCGGTGGTAGTAAGAACTGAAAGACCAGACATTGAGGAGCAACGTGAGACGTTAATCTTGGAAACTAGCGAGAACAAAAATTTGCTGCAGCAATTGGAAGACAGTCTCCTGCGCGAGATTGCTGCGGATCAAGGCACTATGGTGGACAACATTGAGCTGATCGAGACCTTGGAGAATATCAAGTCCAGTGCCAATGATGTGATGAAGAAGCTGTTGCTCGCGGAGGTCACTTCGGCCGACATAAACAAACTTCGCGAAAACTATCGTCCGGTGGCGGAACGGGGTGCGATTCTATTCTCCGTACTAGTCGACATGGCCACCGTAAATGCCATGTATCAGTACTCTTTGATCAGCTACGTCGAAGTGTTTATTCACTCGTTGAAGAGATCGTTACCAGATCCGGTGGTCGCCAAACGATTGAAGAATATTATTCCGATGCTGACGAAGAACGTTTACGATTACGGCTGCACTGGCATCTTCGCGCGGCACAAGTTGCTCTTTTCCTTACAAACTTGTGTGAAGATAGAACAGAGTATGGGCAACGTGAACCAGAAGCAGCTGGATTTCTTCGCCAAGGGCAGCACGGTACTGGAAAGATCACCTAGATCGAATCCTACCAGATGGCTGCCGTTATCAGGTTGGGAGGATATTCTCAAACTGGCGAGCGGTTTTCCGGAAAAGTTTGAACAGCTTCCGGAAGAGCTACGCGACTACGAGGATGAGTGGAAGAAGGTAATCATTCAAAACGGTTATTATTCGAATAAATGTAACAATTTAATTTATTTCACGAATATTTTTAAAATTGCACGCACATGCTTTGCTTAAAACTTTGCTTAAAAAAGTTCAAAAAGTCTTTGAATTGAGTCATATTATTCTGTGATGAACAAGGATCATCTTAAAGCGCGGATAATTAATTAAATCGAAAAATTGATAATCCGTTTCAGTGGTACGATTCGGATACGCCAGAACTAGAGGAACTTCCTTGCGACTATAGCGTGCGATTGACATCATTCGAGAGGCTGATGCTGATACGCTGTTTCCGCGTGGATCGTGTCTATCGCGGCATAGTTAATTATATTATCGAGATCATGGGCGAGCAATATATCACACCGCCTCACGTGAGCTTCGACATGATTTTCGACGAAAGCACACCGACCATGCCTGTAGTCTTCATTCTAAGCCCGGGTTCGGATCCCACTGCAGAGCTGATGAAATTAGCCGATCGGTACGGCTGCGGCGGAGGAAAGTTCAGACATCTCTCGCTCGGTCAGAGTCAAGACAAGGTGAGATAAAAGAGTAACATAATCAAACTTGTAAAATTCATGTCTACAACGTAATAATGACAAAATAATTTAATTAACGCATTTTAACGTTGCGTCAATACGTCGCGTTTAACTTCCTACATTTTGAAGAAGTTTCACCTAATTTCCTAAAATTTATTTGCATAATAGATCGCGATGGAATTATTAAAAACGGCGATAACGAGAGGTCAATGGCTGATGCTCCAGAATTGCCATTTGTTGCTCTCCTTCACGAAGAATTTGGAAAAGATCGTGGAGAACTTGGAAAAGCCTCATCCCGACTTTCGCTTGTGGCTTACTACGGAACCCACCCCTAATTTCCCAATCGGAATACTTCAACAATCTCTGAAAGGTACGACAAAAATGTACGGTATTTATACCACGTACCTTTTAATGGAATTTATTTGCAGTGGTGACGGAACCGCCGAGTGGATTGAAGCTAAACTTGCAAAACACGTACTTCAACATGCGACCGCAGCTCTTGGAAAGTTGCCCCCATCCTCTTTACAAGCACTTAATTTACGTTCTAGCGTTTTATCACGCAGTTATCCAGGCAAGCAAATATTTAACATAATCACACATTTAATCCTCAGAGAAACTTTAATAAAATGCTCTTAACGTCGCAGGAGAGAAGAAAGTACGACAAAATTGGATGGAACATAAAGTACGATTTCAACGAGTCGGATTTTAATGTGTGTGTTACTATCTTGGACACTTATCTGACGAAGGCCCTGGCAACGAACGAGTCTAGAGTACCGTGGAATAGTCTCAAGTATTTAATTGGCGAGGTACGTTCAAATTCTGCAATCTAAATTTTTTTCTGTGTGAACGCAATTTAATTAATACATTAAACTTTTTTTTATCATTATTCTGAGTTTCTTTTTCACGTAAGTTTAGAACGCAGCTTATTATGTTTATTCTCGAAAATAACCCAGGTGATGTACGGCGGAAGAGTGATAGACAGTTACGACCGTCGCGTCTCTTACACATACATGGACGAGTATTTCGGCGATTTTCTCTTCGACGAATTCCAACCGTTTCACTTTTACAAGGACGACTTCGTCGATTACGTGATACCGCCGGAAGGGGGTCGCGACGATTATCTGCGATTCATCGACGAACTTCCGTTGGTGAACAGCCCGGAAGTGTTCGGGCTGCATCCAAACGCCGAGATTGGATACTTTACGCAGGCAATTAAGAGGATGTGGAGGCATCTCATAGAACTTCAGCCGCAAACAGGTGCGAATATATCATATATTTTTCTCGCTTTGCCCAGGCACTGTTTTTATAATATCGATTGTGACATTGTATGACAAAGTTATGGCATAACTTAAATTAAATACGCTAACAATGTGCACTTAAAATAGATTTAATTAAATATTAAATGACTTTATATTTTTTAACAGCAAGTTACATATTTTTATTGCTAATATTTTGTCCTTGAAAGAAAAATTTTCTATTAGTTATATTTTCAAATATATCGTATAATTCTTAATTTTATAATTAATAATTATTTGTAGCCCGCTCGGATAAAAAGAGTAAGTCGCATTAGTGAGCTTACCGCATTTTCTGATCAATTATAATGACATTATATATATTGATGTTAAAATCTTAGCCGTGAGCCTCACCGGTGTCAGCAAAGACGAATCTATTGATAATGTAGCGAGGGAGATCTTGACCAAGATACCCGCGCCATACGATATCAGTAAGGTCAAGAGAAATTTTGGCGTGGCCGTGACACCGACCGCGATCGTTCTATTTCAAGAATTGGAGAGGTTCAACAAATTAATAGAAACGATTACAAGGACGTTGAACCAACTGAGAAAGGTAGAATAAATCTGAACATTTAAAACTTTGAATCTGTAACATACAGATTTAATTTAATTACTTTATATTTAATAAAGTAATTAACTTACTTTATATACTTAATAATTGTTTAATTAATTATCTGCCTTATCAGTATAAGATGCATTTTTTATTCTTATAAAGATCCTACTTTATCAATTACTTTACGCAATTATGACGTTTAAAACTCCTGTTATGTTCTACAGAGAGATTTGCATTAAAGAGAAAGAGACAAATCTCAAATTTTTCGTAATATATTTATAAAATTCCTCTTTTCTGTATTCTTTACTACAATACAGTTTTAAATCTTCTTCTATAATTCTGCTAAGTTTATCATTAATTAAAATGCAGCTGATATTTAAAATAAAATAAAATAATTTTAATTATAGGCCATCGCCGGCGAGATTGGGATGGACGCTGTGCTGGAGAACATTTCCGTGGCGCTTTATAACGGTACTTTGCCCAAAGAATGGGCCAGACTGGCACCAGACACACGAAAGAACCTTGCCGGCTGGATGGACCACTTTCAGAAAAGAATAGATCAATACACAAACTGGGTACGATTACGCGAAACGTCACGAATTCATCACCCTAACGCTATTCCGCGATTTTGCATGTGCATCAACTTAATTAACGATGCTTTTTTTCCTCCCATTAGTCCGGCGCGAACGAACCTGTAGTGCTCTGGTTGTCCGGGTTGCATGTTCCGGAAACTTATCTGGCGGCTCTCGTGCAAATGGCTTGCCGCAAGAATAATTGGCCCCTCGATCGTTCCGTCATTTACACGACGGTGTCCAAGTTCTCCAAGCCCGACGATGTGGAAGAAAGACCCGATCAGGTGAATCCCGATGACATTTGCTTCACTTTTCACAACGTTTCATTGGAATCACACTAATATCCTGCCATTTGCGTTTTAAAAGGGCTGTTATGTGTACGGATTGTATTTGGAAGGCGCCAGGTGGGACATCGAGGAGCATCGTTTGAAAAGATCGCATCCGAAAGTTCTGATTGAGGAGCTGCCAATATTGACCATCGTACCTATCGAAGTTCATAGATTGAAGTTACAGGTATCGAATTTGCTTATCCATTTCCACAGTTATTAGTTAAATGTCTCGATGGTTGTAATTCATTTCGAATCAAGAGATTTAAGTGCACAGAAAAGAAGAATATTTTTGATTTAAAAATATCTTTAGTTTTAACGTGGAATCTGGAAATAAGACTTCTTTTTTTCTGTGTGACGATTCATATTTTCAAATAATTTGCAATTTTTTTTTTCTGGAACTTCTGGATTATAAAATTGATAACTAAATTTAAATGTGTTACAGAATACGTTTAAAACTCCTGTATATACTACGTCAAACCGGCTAAACGCTCTCGGTGTCGGGTTAGTCTTCGAGGCGGATCTGGCGACTCCAGAACACATTTCGCATTGGATACTTCAGGGTGTTTGTCTAGTGTTGAATACAGATTGAAACGGTCCTCAAGAGCAACGAGAAAAATCGAGGGCCGCTATATTTTTCAGTGTATTTCACGTGTATATCCACTATTAATCAATATAGCATAGAGACAAACAACCATTGAACAATTCTTAACTGTCGCAAATAATTTAAGATTATGTATAATTATGTATACTTATCATGTATGATTCTAAAAATTTTTATCATAATATGAATAAATGGGAGAAGAAAGAACAGACAACGTCGGTTCGTGTTCAACTTTTTAATATTTAAGTATGTCGATCAAATTTCGAATATCAGCGTTATATAAAATTACACGGTTTCCTGCGGATATGGTTACATCGTTATTTCGTATAAATAATCTATTTAATCTTATTTATCGGCCAGTCCGCGATACTTGAGCTGCGGTAAACACAGATTGTAAAACGAGCTGTCGACGAAGTCATCCAGGTTTTGCCACTTTGCCCATCGATCTTTAATTAAATGTTCCGCATTTTTCGCTTTCCCGACGAAGTGTGGATCTACGATTAACAGGTATACACCTTTGTTTCCAACGTGTAATCCTACTACACATTTGCTGGAGCAATCCCTGTCTCCACCCATCATAATTGGACTGCCAAATTGCTCTAAGTGTCTTTTAATATTATCCACTTGATCGATCAATCCCTTTCCACTCGAGACGTGAATTATTTTGCTAAGAGCGTCGTAAAGTTGGTTTATAACAATGGACACCTACAAAATATTCGAAACATCTCAGATCTTCTTACTCAAAAAACCCAGTGTTAAGAGGATTAACAATAAGCTTACTTCAAAACTTCCTATCCATTCTCTCGACCCAAAAAACGTTCTATCTTTATCCTCCACTGCGACAAGGGTCTCTTGTATTTCACTAATGCTTGGGACAGTTTTTTCTAAGTTCTCATTACTTATGATCCACGAACAGATGGTTTGCAGTGTCCTATATCCGCACCCCCAGCCCTAAATGTAAATCGTATTTATTTCGACGATTTATAAGACGCATGAAAATTTTAATTATAATTATCCTAATTGATTAATCACCCTGTCGTTAAAACCGTCGCAACCATAGTGCCAGTACTCGTAATCTCCTTGCACCAAAAATGTTTCGCCGTTATCTGATGGTAGGGCTAAATTTACGTGAACGTTTTTCAATAAATTGCCAGAATAATTGACGGTCATCTTTTCCATGTCATTAAAAAAGTCTAAACAAGTAAAATATTTAATTAAAAGTAAAAATATAGTTATACTGATACAGTTATTGGCATGAACTTAATAATTGAGAATTTATAGATTATAGAGTTATAAATTTATAATTTCCAAACTATAAAACTTATATTATAAATTTTTAATAGTTCGAAATTATTTAACAGATATAATTTCATCTATATAAATTAGAACTTTATAAATGCATATTTTATTTTTATACTTTATAATTTCAAAATTTATTAATGTTATAATAATACAATTAAAATAAATTGTAAAAATTATAATTATTTATATAATTATAGGGTTATAAAATTCATATTCGAAACAATAGAATTTGTTATAAACCGTTTATTATAAACATCAGTTATTTTACAAGCAGATTTGCATTTCCTGCTGATAAACATCGCTCAAGTACTGTCAACTGTCACCCAAACGCCAACCTAACCTATTCAAACGTCAAAAACTGAGAAAATTTAACAAACGAGATTCTAAACTCGAATGAAGCAACCATTTTCTCGTTCGCTCTCACGAAAACAAAAGCACGCTGAAAACGGCCGAACGGGCCTGCAGCCGTTAATTTATTAATTAATCAGCGATGAGCGGATCGTGGCGTCACCTGTCAACACGTCCGAACGATGCTCCGCTTCATGGTATAAATATAAATACAAGGGTATGCTCTTGCGCACGCGACCAATCAGAATTGTCGAAGTGTGACGTCACAGATAAGCGGTAAATTTAAAACTGCTGTTTCCAAACAGCTTATGTTAGCGGCATTCTCGTCAGATATATTATTTTAATTTCAAGTTTGCAGGGAAAAAATCTGTTGTAAAGTAATAGTTTATGAATTAATAAATACTTTGTAATAAAATATAATATAAATAAACATTATAAACTTAATAAATATAGAAAAGTTTACAAAACAAATATATAAAAATGTTAATATTTTTTTTACTTTGTTTGACAGCTTTCTTCCTCATATCACTTTATAGGGATTAAATGACAACAATAATAATAACATATATAAAGATGCTATGAAAAAGATTTATTATTCGTAAATTTGGTTAACTTCTTTTTTTTATTCTTAAATCTATTTTGTACAGCAATGGTTCGATTAATTTCGCGTACCCTAATGTAGGTTCTTGTCCTAACAAGACATAGCAAGACCTCTCTTGGCAGTTCGATAGGTTTTAATGCAATTTCTATTTTATCCGTAAGTTTCTTGAAGATGAATTTGTCTTTACTAAGCTTTGAACCGTGATACTTGGAGAATTCTGTGTTCATAATATGTGCAGCTTTTAAAAGATCAGACGATGGGTACATGCATTTCCCTCGGGAAATAAATTGTAACCAATCTAGATCATTGACAATTGGTAGTTCGCATGTTTTAATACCTAGTGTGTCGTGTTTACTTTTGAATCTATATGCTACATAGCCAGCTATATATAATAAACCTTGATCCTCAATATTGTCGACAATTTCCATTTCATCTAATGATTTTAGTATTTGTTCTTCTTCTAAAGTAGGAATATATGTTGCTGAATTAAAGCATGGAACGCGATTTTCCTTATTATTATTAATTTCATTTTCTGTTAAGAATTCTTCTTCGATATGAAGATCGGTTGTTTCGTCTTCGTTTGTGTACGGCGCTAACATATTACTTAAAATATACTCTTCACAATTATCATCGTTAAGCGGAGATATTAAACAGGATACATTTCGTTCGCTTTCTGTGACATTTGTATTTTTGCAGAAAATAGTCGTAGAAAATTTTCCTAATATATAGCGTTTTACTCTATACTTAAAATCTAAGGCTGTTGGTTGATCATTCGCACCACCACCATTCGATCTTATAAAAGAAAAGAAATTTTCTAATACATCTTGGTTTAACCGATTTGTTATGACATATTCAATATTAGCCGTGGAATACTTCTCAATTAAATACGGTAATAATTGTTCCAAAGAATTACTGCTCACGATGAACCCTTTCTGAAATAACATCAAACTTTTGTGATTTCCTACTCTTAGTTCGTACATGAAAGACGTCATTTCGTGAAGTATTGCATTTTGTTCCTCTAAGTTCTTGCCATATGCATTTTTTCCTGAATGGTTGCCGTACATCGATTTTGAGTTGAATATATCAAACCAGTCATTCAACAATTTGATCATACGTGCTGTTTCCACCCACTCTACATTTTCGAGAAAACCTTTTTGTCCACACCATCGTAATGAAGCAGCGGTAGTGGCAGACAGTAGCTGCACAGCTGGGAGTACTTTTTGTCGCTCAGTACCTTGCAGGTCTAAATGGTACTGAGATATTTTGTACGCCACTTTCAAATCCTTAATATTAATAGCTAACAACCGTTCTAAACTTTTTTTACTTAAAATTACTCCGTTAACGTTGAAGTCCTTATCGAGGAAATGATTACGCGCCAGCTTAACGAGATGGGGCATATCTGCAAATACGAAAACTTTGAGTTCAATACAAACAGGATGCTGAAAGTAACATTTTTTAGGTGCAATTCCTATTCCCATTTCTGACCACAATCCCATATTACCCGAACCCATATCACTCGTCACAGCAATAACCGTATAGCCTATATTATACATTTCCGAAATAACGTGCAAAAGCGTGCTCTTAGACATAGGTTCATCAAAGTTGTAATACACTGGCTGCTTCCAATTGGAAAACAAGCTTCGTACCATGATACATTGACACGTCTTGTGAGGTCCAACGACTTGCTCACATTTGCGATCTATAGCAATTTTATTAGATAAATAGACCTCATCGAATGTTACCACTACCAGTTTTTCAGAGTCTTTTAAGCATTTCCCTTTCTGTTTCATGCACTCGAGCACACACGATATAACACCTGTTTCTGCTTTGATAGAACTTGCCCACCTTCTGAGCGTTGATGGACCAGGGAGCGGTATCTGCAAAACATTCCTTAAATAGCGATATGCCTTCGGACTGATAGATCGTAACGATATAGCACTTGCTATATCTTCTGGAGACCATGATATACGTTTCTTAGACGGGTTTAGTAACATCCGTATTTGCCCCGGAGTAAATATTTTTCCGAGTATCTGGTATATTTTTGTTTCCGCATTTTCGTCGCCTTTCTTCTCTTTCTCTTTGTACATAAGCAACTTCTTTTGTGTTGCTGCTAATTGCTCTTCAACACTATTACTGAAAGTAAACAATAAAAACCAACATTATTCTTTCATATAATGACCTGAAAAATTTCTAAATGTTAGTATGTAACTCACAGTTTCTTCAAGAGAGCAGTTACATCCTTTGATGTAGATGGTAACGCTGTTATAGTATTGATCGACTGGATTTCTTTTGACACAGGTATATCATCGCCAAATGTGGCAAATAGCACTGTATCGTTGCATGTTGATTCCGAAGTTGATGTGTCATTGCATGTTGATTCCGAAGTTGATGTGTCATTGCATGTTAATTTCGAAGTTGATGTGTCATTGCATATTAATTCTGACATATCCGACGTATCAATTAATGGCAATGATCTTTTATTATAACGAACAGCTTCCATTTGCGGCGCGTCACACATTAAACGCAACGTAGGAATTGCATCTGGTCTCAATTTTGTCAGTCTTTTTTGAGCATAGAAAAGGGACTTTTCTTTCGACGGCTGTACAAAGCATGATGCATCGAAGTGTTGGGAACATATCATACCTAAACACAAAATTATATGCAGTTCACTTCATTATATTTGTACATTTACAAGAAATATAAAATCTTACTTTTTTTAATGTTAACGTTGAGGTTAACGTTTTGTTTTCCACATGCTGCAAGCCACTTAGCTGCGATCGTAAAATCTTTCGGAAACGAAAAATATTTTATGCTGTTTCCGTCAAGCAATTTTGTTTTTCGATAATAATTGCCACAACCTTTCACGGAACAGGACATTGCATACTTAATGTCCACAATCACGTTTCTCCGGATCTAAACGACAAGCACCAGGGCCATATTTAATTGTGGTCCAATGGGTCCAATCAGATTCTAGCCGAGTGTGACGTCACACTTTGACTGCGCAGTGGGTGTCCACGGGATGAGCATACCCTTGTATTTATACCATGAGCGCAACGCCGATTGCATTGAAAGCGTGAGCGTGGAACGATAGAGGAAGGGAGACAGCAAGCTGAGCAAACATACGAAAGGAAGAGAGAGAGAGAGAGTCAAAGCACAAAAGGTAGAGACGAGCGGGAGAGGGAGAAAGAGCGAGAGAGAAAGAGCGGAGCAGACGGGAAAGGCGGAAAAGGAGAATCGCAAGGTACGCGAACGCGAGCGCGAGTCCGTCGTCCGTCACGCACCGAGTGTTTGCCTCGGCTGGCTGGAACGAACGCGCCGTTTCCCAGGGAGAAAATGAGAGCGACGTCCTCGTGCTCGGTAAGTCGATTAACGGCGGCCGTCTCATCTAATTAGCCAAGTCGGTTACAGCTCGGGTTAACGCGTCACGTCCCCGTTGTTGTCCGTCGTCGCGCCGAGCGCGAATCGAGCGATCAGTTTGACAGCTACACAATAGCCAGCTATTTATCGATTTCTTTCCCCCTGGTATCGACCGCGAGACTCGTGCCCTCGCCCAGGAGAGGCCCCGCGAACCCCTCGATCGCGATCCCGTCGCTTCCCGCGCCCGTCGCGCGATCGAAATCACCGAGGATGCCAGCGAATTCGAGAACGTTTCTTTTAGGTTATGTTGGTCGCGCAACCCTGGCTTTGTTTTAGTGCTCCCCCGCGATATTTTCTCTCCCTTTCTCGCGTCAGCTGCGGGTCGCTCGAGGTAACGCGACGTTTAGAAACCGCGTGTTTGTCCTAGTTACGCTAGTCGTCGGCCGTTTCTGTCCGAACTTATGGTTTTATCGGACGAGCTGTACCGTAATCGTCATTGTTTTGACGTTTCCTTGTTCTCCCCCCTCGTCAGTGAAACTATAGGAGGAGGATCCGAGCGCAACGCTTGAGAAGGTAGGAAATGTACGGCGCTGAGAGGGAGGAGGTGTCTGAAAGTTGGCTGCACACGTATGACCTGAGCAGTACTATGATCCCCAATGCGAGCACGGCGATGGACGACGAGGAGCATTTCTGCAAGCTCATCCTGTACAAGGAGATCAAGGACTCCAGGTAAGATCGCACGCGATCGCCGCGCGACCAGAACGATCCCGATCTACCAGATGATGATCCGTCATATTCTTTGTTTCACAGAGTGCGCATATGGGACGTCATCATCCTGGTGCCGAATCTCCTGTTTCTCCTGTTCATCGCGATGCGGTTCAACAGAGCGAGGCTTAAGTTACGCGCAACGAGTAGTCCGATATTTTTAGCGTTTTACGGTCTGGTCATTTGTAACGTAGTTATATCAGTGGTGCGATGCGTCGTGTCGATGACGGTGAACGCGGCGGCGACGGTCGGCGGCAAGGCCGACAAGGTCCTATGGGTCACAGTGAGATTTTTTCTACTCTCCACCGAGATGAGCGTAGTTATATTTGGTCTAGCGTTTGGTGAGTGACGTTCACGAGAGAAAGAAGGAAGGTGATATGTATTTTTTTTTGCTAACACATCACGAATCTCGCTGTCTGTGTTTCAGGTCATTTGGACAGCCGCTCCAGTATTCGTAGAGTATTACTCGCTACATCCCTCATAGCGCTGGCGTTCACGATCACCCAAGGAACACTGGAGCTGGTCCTGCCGGACGACACATTTCATATTCCCAGCCGCGACTTTTACGTATTCGGTCACGGCGGTATGATGTTTTGGTTTTGCAGCAGTCTCGTTTTCACAACGGTACGCTTATGCACGGTATTGTTTCCTTACCAGAGAAGATCGATACATGATCACTGAGAGTACATCGCTGTGTTGTTTTTAGATATATCTCTTCATATTAATACTGCCATGGACACGGTTGCGGGACCGCCTAGCACTTCCTAGTAAGTAGTCGTTATCACATAGATTACGATGCTTCATCGCTGATTGCGATTTTTACGTGATACGCTTTCTGTTGCAGCACGGAAAAGCTTTTATGTTTACGCCGGTATGCTAGCGACGTTGGACCTAGTACAGTCGATTGGCGCAGGCTTTTTAAATTACACGCAAAATCCGGTAGGATTATGCATCGTAGACTTCACTGCAGCGGTTTATTTAACCCTTTTTACCCCTTTGGTTTACCATACATTCCTGTCGGAATTCTTCGGGTAAGTTACTGCTGCTTAGCAATGTGCAACTCGAACAATCGTCCTGTCACGCGCGAATACATTTTGGAAATTGTTCTGTCTTAGGGTCTCGCAACCTTCGATAATGTTCTCTTACAAAGCGCAAGTGGACGACGCGATGGACGAAGACACTGTGTCGTTACCGCACCAACAGAGTTTTTCATCCTTGAAAACCGACAGCGATTACATCTATCAGGTCCATACTCCGTCTATTCACATACCGCTATATGATTCCCAGGCACTGAAATCCTCCAGACGGGGAGCTTCACTTTATTCCTTAACATCCGCTAAAGATCCCAAAAATAATGACTCAAGCACTTTCGGTTCACCAGTTAAGCCATATTGCTCGACATCCGGTATTGGAAGCTTTGGTAGAGATCCCAACGCACAAAAAGGCATCTCGGAGGTGGCTGATTACCCCTTAATTAAGTCCGCTGCTATCCAAAAGAGTGTACCAGACCTAAGGCTCTCCAGTCCGACGCGAAAACCCATTCCTGTTACGTACGGCAGTCCCGGTAGCATCTCAAATTTATTTCTCTCGACCGATACCGCTAGTAACTTCTTTTACAAGCCAAACACAATTGACAGCAAAATTAATCTATATTCTCAAACGAGGAAAAGTAGTTCAGAGAGTATATCGCATAAAACAACCGTAGATCACGCGGCCGTGATTGAGAATATTTCACACCGACATGATGGTTCCTCGGAGATATCTCAAGCTCCAGCGTTAGAGAATACCTTACAGTCCATCCTGGAAAGCGGGACGCGCGAAATCGAAACGGAAGATCCCCAAGAATCTCTAAAGACAACTGACACTGACAATTTAGTCGAAGACGGTGCCGCTAGCGTGGATCTGAGCCATTTAATGACGCGTGTCGGCACCGAGATTTTTAAAACTTTCTCGGACGATATGTCGCCTGATTTATCTGACCCTTCAAACGTCACGCAGCAATTACTTCCTAGAGCAACTTCCTTTACCAGCGCGAGCAGGAAGAGCAAGAATGATTCGCAAGAAGGAGAGTCAGGTGGCTTAAGCGATTATTTATTATCCATAACATCCCCGAAATTTGTGAAACATAAAAAGAGTGACGCAAATCCCGATTCCTTCCCAGATTCAGATTTGTATACGCAAACTGAATCTTTGTAAATAGCTTATTTATATGTATATCGCAGACGGCTCACTGTATCTGTACATATCGTAGATAATCTTTTAGGTTTTACGTTGATTTTGTTACTTATTGATCCCTATATTATGCATTATGACGCGTATGGTGAGGTACCATTCGAGAGCTTCATCTAACTGTACATAGCATGTTTAGAAATGGTCGTGCAATTAAACATATTGTAGTCAATGCACTTGGTTTCATTTATTTACAACTATAACTTCGGGCAATCTCTCCCTCGGCAACGATATCACTCTGCTGCCTTTTTTACGAATGGAATCTCTCGTAAATGTTTTCAAGTGATATTTTGTTATTGTTACGCGTGCAATGTACACTGTTTGCACCAATATGCTTCGATGTTGCAATAGTACGCGCGTAATTCGATGTTTAGTTATTTCGAAGTGCTTCTGGCTGGATTATCGCAGAATTTATCAGCATCCATGTATTTTTTGCGATTCTCTGTATAAACGCTTTCGCATATTACGCAGGAATATAATGATCGTTACGTCAGCTTCACAATAACGTCTTTAAAGCTTCTGTTCTCTCCTGGCACTCATATGAAATAATGATGTCGGAGACGATAAATGCGCGAATTTTACTTCATATAGAAAAAAGATCACATGACTTCTCGCTTCCGACATCGTAATTCAATATGGTTGCACTGAAGGAGGAAAGAGGAAGGAGGAGTCTCTTAATTAATTAATCGATTGACTGATTAGGGATCTGCCTTGATAAATGCAAAGCGGAAAATGTTCATTTTTTTCTCTTTACAGAATCACAGTGTTTATGACTCGACCCAGTTCGACACGAACGCTACGCCAATCAACCCGCTCTACGCGGCGTCTCTTCAAAGCCCAGATAGTATTACCGGTTACAGTATAGACAGTCAAGAAACGCCGAATCCGCCGAATGGTTACCAACAATGAGCCGTATCGCTCATATCGATTCGGGGGTGCGCTATAAAAATAACAGAACGAGCCTGAGTACGAGTTACTCGACGATCAAATTGCAATTTTGCTAAGAGCTTCGTGAGATCCTCTCTAAATGAGAAATTTGTTACTTTTTTCCGAAAAAAAAGCGTGTTATGCGAAAGAAGTTTGGGATTTGGAGTGAGGTACGATTGTTGTAAGTCAACGGAAGGATTCTAGTCGCCCTCAAGTATTTTTAGGGCCGCGTAATTTACGGATAAAAATACAGATGCTTTTTGGTCTCCATGTGATAGTTGGCGCTGATGCCCAAATTGTGATCACGAAACGCTGGAAGAAATCTCGCAAAACTCGGAATCTCCAGTTTAGCTTTAGTTTGCTTCATTTAGGGCGAATTCTCGGAAAGATGATTAGAGGTAGCATATTTTAATTCACATTAGTTTTGTACTTAGATAGACTTTGGAATCTCAAATGAATTTTTACTGTGCACGTGAAAAAAGAATATTCTTTTCGGCAATGTTACGCATTTTTATCTCGAAGTAAGTACAAGACGTAGGTCATTCTAGGATTCGCATACTTCCTCCCGATCGCAGATTCATTTACCGTGACTCTCTTCATCCCCATTTCACATGTATTTTTTATCCAGACATAAAATCAGTAAAAAATAGTAATTAAAGACAAATTCACTTCTGAATGCCTTAGACTAACGTAGTTAATACATGCGACTTTTAGAATGCCCTATACGCACGGTGCGATCATCATCACGACGTATCATCCCCGTCGATAAATGCTATTGTTTTGTATCGAGAACTGCAAGTTGGTGCGCCGGCCGTGGATCCTAGTAAGGCGGACAAAACACTTAGATTTATAACTTCTGAAACTTGCTTATCGTTTCTCCGTCCAAAGTGGACGTCGTCGTATCGCTCGAAAGTCCTCGTTGCGCGGCGAAGCGGCGCGCGGACGACAAGCCGGACACTCGCTATTTTCTTACTTTTGCATCGAAAAATCATTAGATCGATTAAGGGACAATAGGAGTCATTAAAGTTAAACGTCGCGCGGAGATAATTTTTAGACTTAAGGAAAGAAAAAACTCTTCAAATGCTCCAATAATTACGAAGACTCCATCCATGATGTATATACATGATATGTAATTCTAGTGTAAAGGATCGTACTATTTATATATCTTAATATATACATATATTATATATATAATATATATAATATATATTTATCAATATAATACGTATCTCCGTATCGTAATTAAATTCGTACAACTGGCAGGTTTTAGGATACTTGCTCCTGCGCTGCCCGCATTTTTCACCTGGACGTTCGTCTCGCGCAGGGAAAGAGGAGGGAAAATAAAAGATAAAAAGGAATATGAAATTAGCGTCCGCTATCGTCATTCTCGAAGACGCGTTCATGAGGTTGTAACGTAGATTCCTCCGTTTTCCTACGTTAAAATTAGAGGAGAGAGGGAATCCAGGAAGGAGCAAAATTAATAGTGATATACAACGTAACTTATTTTCTAGCGTAAATTCGTTCGAATTTGTATATACGAAACGGTGTGCGTGGAACGATGTTACACAATGAGTCTCTCTGTCAATTGCAATTGCTTTTTACCATCTCCGACTATCCCGTCACCCTGCACTCTCCACGAATGTTACCTGCGTCGTCTGACCGTGTGATTCTTTTGTAAGCATCGAGTGCAGTGTATAAGGCAATATATTGTGACCGCGTCGTATAGCTATACCTAATTTTAAAAAAAGTAAAATAAACATGAATGACAATTCAATTTAATTTCCTGAAAATCTTATCCGGCCCCTCGATTTATCATGATGGCTAATATAAATTAGATAATGATTAAATATAATTAGCTAGTACTAAAGCAAATTAATTATATAATTAACTAATACAAATTATCCTCAACAGAGAAATATAAATCTCCATTGTACGAGCTTTTGTTAGATGATAAAACGAGTGTAAAAATAAAATTCGCGTAATAGTGTTTTACAAATAGCTTCATGATGTATGCAAATCTGAAAAGGAATGTTGTTGGAATCACGTGTCTTCTTCTTTTTAATATAAACGCAGCTCTCGCAAGGTACACCAGCATCGAGCATCGTTCGAAGATTCTAGATGCGACGATGTGAATATTATTCATGCAAAAGTCTTCAACGTGTACCCGAGGGATCGTTGACTCGTGTCGCTTTGCGCGCTGATCGCCGCATTTGACGTCACGAAAAACTTTCTCTTTGCATTAAACTCGGTCAATGGCGTACGTTATTCAACGAGATTCGACGCGAGATTATGCTCAAGCCTGAAATCGGCAGGTCCAGCGTGACTCAGAGACAAACGTTCCGCAATACAAACAGTCCGATATGTTTATCCGCGATGTACAGAATCGCAATACAAAAACCGCGTATTGAATAGCAAAGAGTCTTCCATTAATTGGTCAGACCTAGAGCTTGGATTATGCTGTAGAGGTTTATCTCGCGTCCTTCTTTTCACAGTTTAGCTGGCAGGAAAGGGTGGAAGTTCCAAATCTTGTGCACTACCGCGTCGTTGCACGTGAAATCTCGGAGCACATCGGGATCTGCAAGGAAAAGACAAAAGAGAAAGATAAATCAGCTTTTCATCAACTGTTTTCGTGCATTTTGCCGTTCGTGTAGTCTCAGCGGTGGAACGTTCGTAAAAGTTAAAGGAAATAATTTCGCAGTCTTAATTGATCCTAAGTATAACATGAATAGTTTAATATTATTTGTGACAGATTGGGTTTTGCAGAAAAGATAAAAAAATCCGCTTGAACGCACAACTTTCGTAGCGTTCGCCTGTTTCTGCAGCACGGAAGGCTTACAGTCCATTTCGTCCAAATTGTATAGTCGTTAGATCGTCAGGGTCAATTTAGATTTGTTTACTGACTATCAGTGCGCAAGTATTCCCGCAGGGGCCCGCTCAGCGTGGCGGCCGGCACCGCCAAGCTCATCCGCGGGTAGAGCACGGTGCCGTCCGAGGAGAGCACGTTGCACACAACCATTCCCAGCATGTCACCGGTCGCTCGACTGACGATCGGTCCGCCGCTGGTACCGCTCTGGGCACAACAGGTCGTCAGGAGTGCGCAGTTCATCGACTTGGAGACCACGCCACCGCTGACGGTCGGCCGAATGGACGAGGAGAACGGAAATCCCACGGAGACCACCGGTTCACCTACAAGCGAGATTTTGCACCTGTTAGATCAGATTAATCAAGTATTTGGAATGCTACAGTTTAATGCGATTTAACTTTAGGTATTACTAAGACGGGGGTGACAAACTCTAGTTATTATAAGAATGTGTTATTTTCACAATTGCTCTGTTTAATGAAAAAAAGTTATAAATAATTTTGATAATTTTATTGGTATAATTTGGGTTCAAATTTAATTTGAAATGGTCTAAAAATTGTATTTTATTATGATTTAAGATCTTTTAGATTCGCTCAGGTCTAATAAATCCCATCTCAGTAATCGTGCTAGATGTTTTCGCCTTACAATTAGTAACGCAGAGTTAACGCATAAATTATGATACACATGACGCCTGTATGATTCGTTTTAATTGACTTAATTATTTTTATACGCGCTTGTTTATCAATTAAAGTTTCGACGTTGTAATACTTTAAACGAAAAGTGTTTCGCTTAAATTAATAATTGAGAAATAATGAAACCGAAGAGATTGCCAATGAAATCATCAGCTTCTTTAAATGATTGCTTTAATTTATGACGAGACAATAATTTGGATATTAAATCCGTCTTTGCTCGCAAAGCGGGTGTTTTTGAAAATTCTGCGTCACTGCTCGCGTAACGTGCTCAATAAAGCTCTTATGGAACGTGTGATAATAGACTTTTATTGCGATCAAGTAAATGGAATGACTTATGGTTGGTTTCCAAGTTAGAAGAAGGAGGCCAAATATCAATTTCATCCCCAACGATCATCAATTGACCCAATTTTTCACAATTATACGCTATTTCTGTCCCGATGAAAGAAGGTCAATGTCCCTGGCGTTAAGGCGCCAGGAAACCGCTTAACACGCTGCTGGATATACCACTAATTTCCTTCTATTCCGAGAAAAGCCACGAGAATAAGCTACAATATACCTGTCGGTTCAAATGGTAACAATTTGAAGCGGTTGGGATTATTAACGTGTCGCTTCCAACTGCCTTTCGATGAAATAAAAAAAAATCGCCAACGCCAAGTACTTACCCTTTAAAATTGGAGCATGGGACAACCGTATAGATCTCACCGAGGGATCCATGTGTTGCGGGTTCACCCTCAATACAGCGACGTCATAGGGTTGATTCTCCGGTGTTCTGTACACCAGTCTTGCCTGGACACGTAAATTGGGCTTGTCCGGCCTCATTACGATCGATATCTCCCTTTCTGGCGCCTGTCATAATTCATCTTGACTTACAATTTGCCATAATATATTGTCACGTATAAAAAGTTTACCGTTTCCGATAATATTCCGGCAACACATTGATAATCCGCTGATAATCCGATAATATATTGTCACACGCCGAGTTTATCGCACAGAATAAATTCAATATTTTTATGTTACGTGCTAAAATGTACTTCGTATTTTCTATCTTTTTACTTTCGTGCAAATACTGTTTTTATATCTCTCTCTCTGCCTTATATTTCTTCAATAATATTTCTTAAAAAGAGTTTTACCTCCGCGACGACGTGTGAGCACGTGAGGAATGTACCAGTATTCTTATGCACGAGGATGCCTGTACCCCAATTAATTCCACATCTAACAAGCACGACGCCTTTATCTAACACCACTATAAAAAAGAATAATAAAAATATTTTGCATGTGTGGACGTAACAGATAATAACAGAAAATAACGTTCATTAACGAACCATCTGTATCTTCATAATACTCGCGATCTATGATCGGAGAACAAGGAGAATTCCTCTTCCGTAAAATGTTGAGCACACACGGCGCAAGATTGGCGGCGAAAGTGTAGTCCACCCATTCTCCGCGACACCAGCTCAACGGTGCGATCACCATCCCGCTGATAACTCTGCGTTTGCTAAAAAAAATAACACTCATATTCAACGATTCAAAATATGATGAAATGACGAGCCACGGAGTACATTATATCGATAAGTAATTTTTATTAAACTCATCTTAAGAGAGAACTTAGGTTTTAAAATTATCGAAAAATTCTGTACATTTTTTGTGACTACATTAATAAATAATTAATAATTTAAATTTGAATTAAAATAAGGTGGAAACAATTTCTTTAACCCGGGAACAGGTGTCTGATTTTTTTTTCATAATTGGTCGCCTGTGATTTTTACATCCCAATTAAAAGTTATTAATTATTGCACATTTTTAATTGTTCTTTAAATTATTAGTATTTGAGAACAGTATGTATATATAGATTTACTTAACATTTTCTGAGAAAAGTAAAAATAAATTTAAAAAAAATTAAAAACCAAAGAAACACATTAAAATTAACGTAACGTGAGCTTCATCTTTTCAATATTAGGATGTAAATAGGATGCACCCCCATGCAGGCACCTGTTCTCAGATTAAGGTTCTCTATTACTCTGTCAAATAATAGAAAATCGTTCAAAAGACTTTCGCGCCGAGCGAAGAATATTTCCACATAAACGCAATGAATTCTAAGAGCCATTATAATTACCTACCCATTTGACGGGATGACATATACGGGACCACCCTCGCCGCCGGGGAATGCGTACGCGTCCGTCATGATAACGCAGCCTCCGTCGCCGACGACATTACTGATAACACCGCGCGCGATCGAACCAATGAATACGGGATTGCCGAAGGGCGTCGACTCGATTTCCACGGACGATCCGCGGATAAGATTTCGCGGAGCTTGGTCCAGCAGACAAGACAAGGCTTGTTCGACCGACGTTTCCACGATTGGCTCGGGATCGTAGATGCGGATGAGCAAGAAAACCGACCGCAGCGATCGATCAAACTCGGATGATTTAGGAAAGTTCCACGTTTTGAAGAACTCGTCGAAGGTTTTCTTCAGCAGCGAACACCTCCAGGCAGCTACAATCTCGCCGTGATGTTCCTTAATTGAGCTCGATCGGAGATCGTCGGTCCCTAGATCGCGATAGATCCGAAATTTCAATTCGCTCGTGAGTTCTTTCGGCACTGTCGTGAGTTCTCCCGGTACCATATTCATGACGAAGCTCGATATCGCGGGGGACTTGTCGATGATCGGGCCCAATGCGGCGCCGTGAGTCAATATCCAATCTGTTGAGATCGAAATGCCAGAGCATCCCTGCGGCGACGTCGATGGATCTTTGTCGATCGATGAGTGGAGTACAAGTGCGCTGCTTGGAGGGCCCATCCTTCCCAATAATGCTGTACATAGAAAGAAGTCAGTTTTTTAATTTATAGAAAAAAAAAACAGACACATCTAAAGAATTAAGATAGAATACATTAATATACTTTTAACATACCTACTCTCTACACTGTTAAATTATACTTATTTAATTAAAAATTTCATTTTTAATCATTCTTATAGGTCGCCACTACTCTTATTCAATATGTCGTTAATTTAACTAAAACAATGGAGTTAAAATAATACTATTTTAAACTAATAAAATTTCACGGTAGTGACGCATATGGTAGTCAAAAGTAACAAAATGTTATTTAATTCACTCGATTTAAATTTTATCCTTTAATTTAATATTTAACAGTGCAAGAGTATATATAAGATGATATTTTCTAATCTTTTTTTAATGGTACAAAATTAATGCAACATTCCCAAATATACATATTATAAGATGAGCACGTATAAAATGTACACACATATATGTACGTATCTACATTTAAATATAAAATTTACAATTTTGTCTCTCTTTGCCTCGCAAATAAAATTTTGGTACAGATCTCATCGATTTTTAGAACTCATTATCCCGTTAAATAAACTTCGGATCTTTTTCTGTGTACACCCGATCAGGACACGGCTGTCGCACCTGTTACAGCCTAAGTACTTAACAGCGCGTTTTGCAATACAAAGATATCTCGAGCGATCAAACATCGGGGATACTCTCGCAGGGAGCACAGCTGCCACATTCGTCGCGCAATTCAACGGTGAAAGGGTTAATTGTCGCGAGCACGGCACCGTGAAATCGCGGTGCTATAGCTCGATAAAAAGGGCCGACGATGGAGGGAGGAAAAAGGATAGAAAAAAAGGAAAATAACACGGCTGTACCGTCGCGTAATCGTGAGTCACCATCGTGCGCGGTGAACCAAAAAGAACGAGATCAGGAGTGGAGGAGAGGAGCGGCGCGAGTCAGGAATGACTTGTACATCTGCGTCGTTCGCGAGCTAGGAAATCCCTTTGCAAATACCGTATGATTACGGCCGCATACCTAAACGATAACGCAAACGGCTGCGGGGAAAAAGCCGGCTCTCTAGATTCTTAGTCTTGAGAATTAGTCCCGAGGTGGAATTTTTAAAATGTGTACCGCTTATCGAAGAAAATCGCCT